TTTGTACTTTAACTTCATTTTCTAGGGTTCTTGATTAAGTTTCTATAGAGGTGTTAGACTGTTTTGAAACTATCTCAGAACAAACCTCTAAACCTACTTAAAAAAATGTATTAAATCTTTCCTCATCGTGAAGATTTTCACTTGAGATGTGATTCTATAGGTTTGAATATGAGTTCTGTTCGGAGAAATGTGGTTAAAGTCCAGCAGGGGAATACTTCACCCACTTCTAAGTCATCACTTTAAGTTGCTTAATCACTTAGAACTTCATTTGCTTATTTAATACTCTTATCATCTTTGAAGCATTTGGAACGCTGATTTCAGGTGTGAGGAGGTCACTTAAAGCATATTTTATCTTCTTGCTGCAACTTATTTTAAGATATATCTTGGATGGGTCAAGCAAGTTCAAGAAAATTCTCCCAATAAACATTTTTAGGAAACCAAACTTTGGGAAATTCTCATTTATTTTCTGACTTTATATTTCTGTGTTTATTTTTTTTAAATAACCTAATAAATGTTATATATGTGTATGTATGTGCATATTGCATATATATGTCTACATGTGTGTGTATAGGATCGTACATGCACACACACATGCACACATGTTTGTTCATTTATTTATCCATGAAGCCAAAAAGCTGTATGTAAATCCACTGTAGGCAAGTTTTTGTTTTTTTTCTAGAATGAGAGCGGTAGAGTGAGGGAAGTTTCCAATTCCACTGTATTCTATTTGGTCTCAGATAGAAGGCTTATCAGGTTGTAAAGGAAAAGAAAAACTAGTACTGTTTTTTTGTTGTTGTTATTGTAACTGTTTACATTGGCAGTTGTTGTTAAAATGCTAAGACCCATGGTGTAAGGAGTTAGGTCAGAGGATCTAACGTGGGGTCCACCTTTGCCAGTGGGACCATTAACGTGGGGAGGATAGTCTAGCTCAGCAGTCCAAATAAGGATGTTCCTCTGAAGCATCCGAGCCATTCCGACGTAACAAAACAGTCCGCAGGAGATTCTGATGTTCAGTTGGCTCTAGCATCCTGAGACACACTGCTCCTGAGCAGGTATGGTTCTTCCTTCACCGTCTCTCTCCATTCTCTATATTCCATCTGGTATATTTCTCTCCCTACTTCATATATTTTAACATCTAGAGAATAGGTTGCAATGGATAAGGTCTGAGTTTTTGTCTCTTGAAGGCTCATCAACACCTAAATTAGTGTTGGAATAGAAAAGGGGCTTGGTACTGTTTGCTGGGGGTGGCGTGACACTCCCTTTCCCTCACAGGAGCTGAGTACCTCATAGGTAGATGCAGGACCTTTGGGCACCTCAAATGCCCACTGCCATTTGGAATCAGATCCATTTGGATGTCAACAACTGCAGTTAACAGGGGAGGGACTATCATTCAGACTCAATCCAGCCCTGGTTGTGGGTCATGATTCCTCAGGGAGGGCTTGATGCTATGAGTGCCCCATCCCGTGGGCGAGCCTGGCCACCCTCTGAACCTGTCCTCCCCACCCCAGATCTGTTTCCCTGGAAAGACTTCAGGGATGGGGCTGGGAAGGGTCTTCGTCAGGGCACCTGTGACTAAGTTGCCATGAAGGGATGGGTTCTAGAGGCCGTACCCAGCCAAAATCATGTCTAGTCAAAATTACTTTAATAAATCCATGAACCCACGACAGCAAGATGCTTACACTCTGAGAGAAGCAGGAACCGAGAACAGCAGAGAGCACATGAAATGTGTGCCCACCCAGTTCCACGTTCACTGCGTGGCATCTGATGGAGTGGGACAGTGGGCAGATTCTCTGGCACACGTAGATTTTGTATTCATTCCGTGTTTGAGTTTTTTTTTTTTTTCCTTTTTGTCTTTTTTACTGACCGGTAACGGGATCGCAACGCTCGGTGTCGCACCCGGACCGGGACCGGCAACGGGATCGCAACCCTCGGTGTTGCACCCGCACCGCGCTCAGCCAGTGAGCGGGAACCGGTCTCCACATGGGATCCGAACCCTCAGCGGGAGCGCTACCGCGCTCCCAAGCGGCGCACTCTCCAGTGCGCCACCGGGCCGGCCCGTGTTTGAGTTTTTATTGTTGGTTTGATAACTCTTGTATTTTTGAGAGATGAATGTGTGCACAACACAGCTCCAGCCTGTGGTGTGTGAGCAGCTCCACAGCGGGAGCGCTGCCGCGCTCCCAAGCGGCGCACTCTCCAGTGCGCCACCGGGCCGGCCCATGTTTGAGTTTTTATTGTTGGTTTGATAACTCTTGTGTTTTTGAGAGATGAATGTGTGCACAACACAGCTCCAGCCTGTGGTGTGTGAGCAGCTCCACTTTGCTTGTCCTGGAGTTTGTTCTTTACACTCCTGAGGATTTCACAACACAACTTCTGAATCCAGACTTCTTGTGGCATTTGTGTTTATACAAAGTGATGCAGCTGCTTTTTTTTTTCTTTTGGTGAAATATTTTCCTGGCCCTTCATCCACAAAGCTTAAGGTCTGCCTTCCTTCTAGCTGTTACCCAGAGCCTACTAGTAGATAGAGCCTCAATGTAAATTTATGTGACATTTTCACTAGAAAATTGCTTAAAAAATGAGTGATATTTCTACGGTTTACTGTTTTTCACTTTAAGTACATTTTCTGACAATATGTCTTCTATTAATCATTTAAGCAATAGTTGGAGCCTTAAAGGAGTGTATTCAGAAGCAAGAACCCATGGTTCATTTAGTGCTGTCTAAAAAATTTTTTTATTGATTGGCATCCTGTGTGGTTATGTGATGTAATATTTATAATATGTCACCCAGCCATACATCAAAACAAGTATGTCTGTTGTTTCATTTCCATGGGAGATGTTGATTTCAAAGAGGTCAGCCCAGTTTTAGGTGACATTGTGGCCAACCGCTGGACCAGAAATGGGAAGTAACTAAATTTATGTAGTTATTGGAAATGGCGTCACAGATGCTTGGGTTTCTGCTGAGTTTTTCCTCCCCTCCCCCCAGGTTCACGTCTTCTGCTTCCTCACTTACCCCTTGTGCACCTCGTTGGATTTTCTTGGCACACGTCCCCACAGTAAAACGGGCTCATTAAATTTGTATGTGAGCATGAACGTACTACCAAGTTGCTGAGTTGTGCCCCGGCCTTGCTGGGCAGCAGCAGAACCATGCCTGGGGTTTTTCTGTGCCATTCGTCATAGATCTTGGCAGAGTAACGTCCATTGCCATGTTATTGCAGGAGCTTAAGCCTGCCTGTGCTTTGCCGTGTGCACACACTGTGCTGCTGTTTTGGGA